GCTCACTTGCGGACCACAGCAGAACATATACAGGTAGTTTCTCAAAGAGCCAAATTATTAGGCGTAGAATGTAGGAGACTAGGGTAGAGGTATAGGGAGACCACGATAAGGAAGGAAGGAAATGCCAAGGACGTTAGAAACACAGGAAGGGCACTGGACTAGGTTAACACAGAACTTGAGAGAGACATTTCCAGTGGCATCTTTGACAGAATGGCTTTCTAGAGCTAGTGAGACTGAAGCTGGGCAAAATCAGTTCCCCGAGAACCCCGGAAAGGGTATCATCGGTGCTGGGGAATAAAGAGCTAGGGCTTTTATTTTTAAATCAGACACTGGCAGCTGTTTATAGTTCAAGTTATTACACAAATTGCGGCTTTGTGCACCTATGCACGTGGAAAAGACTAATGCAGACCGTGGAACGGTGATTTAATCAGGAAAAAGTATGCAGGTGACTGAACAGTCCGCCTGCCCCACAGTGAGTGCCTGGATGTGGCACTCCACAGCGTTGTAAGACCTAGACTCGCACCCGACTCTGATTCAGAATCGACAGCCGCAAATTGCACTATGAATGTTAATCTCAGTATATTTTAAAGGAATGCGATTTTCTAATTAGTATCTTTATGTTGCATAATCTGATGAATCGTCTCTGCAGCAGAGACAATGTGCAGAAATTATACCCTTCAGTCAACTCCCATGAGAGGTCCCTGGAGGTTTTCAAACATTAGCTGCATGGAAAGTACTGGAGGTGCCTGATAAAATTCAATTTTTGATTCAGAAGAGCCATTGAGTTCGTGTTTTATCAAGTTCTGTCACATAGTTCTGATGTGGATAAGAAAAGGGATACCTGGAGAAAAGGTTACGAAGCTTTTCGGGCAGGTGTCTCTCTTAGCTGGTGTTCTTGTGCCCTCAGGTGGCGCAGTGAGGAACTGTATGACTTGGAGTTCTCGTGTTTCACCATGTCTGCCTTTATCTAACTACATTATAAACCTACAAATATGAGTATAGGTTTTGTTTGTTTGTTTTGAGAAGTTTAAAATCCTAAACAGTCACTCTGGTGCCCCTCTACAAATCTTCAAGAATCTGTGAGACAAAACAGACCCCGAGGCTGAAGTGGTATTTACATTTTGTGATTGCTAGTTCTTTGGGATATTGAGAAGGACATAATGGATGAGCATATGTGCAGAGGAACAGTCAGTGGTGGAGAATTTCCCTCCTTCTTCCCTTCCCGGCCTCTGGTGCTGTCTAGGATCCTAATGACTGACGTAAGCGTTAGCACCGGGGGATCCAGGAATGGCCACTTCTCGAACCTCTGTGCAGCTGTGCAGCTGTGCAGCTGTGCGGCTGACTTACACACCACACAAGTGTTTGTTCTTATTGTGGTTCTTTTATTCATCCCCACACTATTCAACATGCTGCGGGCACCGTGTTAAGGTGGGGACACCACGCTGAATAGGACTGCTGAGGTTTCTATCCGTATAGGGCTCCCACTCGAATGGTGAAGACAGATAACAAACAGCACTATAAAAATTACCGAAGGAATTATAAATTGAGGTTAGGGCAACGAAAGAAAGAAATAAGAAGCTGAGGCAGAGGCTAAGTTTGAAGGGATGGCATGAGACATAACGTAGCTAGGCCAGCTGGGGCAAACCTCTTAAGACGCAGGCTACAGTGTTTTATGGAGCCCAGAGGTATTTTAAGTGCTCTTCGTGCATTCATTCCGTCTATCCTCTCAATTCTACTAGTGAATACATGCTTATGGGACCCATTCGATGGGTAAGGGAGACACAGAGTCACCGAGGCACCAGGCACAGAGTTTCTAAGTGTCAGAGACTGGATTCAAGTCTACAGCACATTGACTCTGCAGCCTCCTTTCTTGAAAATGCTGACCATCATTTCCGGTCAAGCCAGGGGAAAGAGAAGAGCACACCGGAAGCTCCCGGTGAGGAAAGCACCGAGTCTAGCATGGAAAAGAGCACCGTAGAGGAGAAGCCCAGCAACAGAAGGGTCAGACGCCCACAGTCAGTGCTAGAGTCAGGTCGGGTCCAGGCTGCCTTTGGGAATATGGTCAGGAGGCTTGGGTTTCATTCAAGAGCAGTAAGACCACAGGTCTAAGACCAGGTCCAGACACGCTCTCAAACTTTAAAAAGAAATTACCTCTGACTGCCGTGTGGAAAATGCATCACAAGCAGGAAAATCAGCCTGGAGGCCTGTGAGCAAGGTTTTGATAAAGAGATAGAGGGGAGATTTAATACATTTTGGAGGCAAGATGAACAGCATTGTACATGAGGGCGTGTTTACCATCCTCACAGAAGTGATGGGAGGCCGGCACACCGTATGGCGTTGGGATGCAGGCTTTTCTTTGGTGTGTGCTAACTCCAAAAAGAATGGTCCTTCTTAGGAGATAGTCACTGAGTAGAAACAAAGGAGAAGAAATGAAAACCTCGGAGGGTCTCATTTCTCCAGCACCACAAAGTGGCTGGTGGGTAGTTGAAAGGTTTTTTTCTGGCATAATATCCATCATCTCAGACGAGAGCACAGAGTTCAGGGAAGGTAAGTGGTTAGCTACATTGCAGTCAGATTCACTTTTCTTTGGCCTAACACACGCAAGCCTGACTTCTACTTAGGAAAGACAAATGTGACAGTCAATTTCTCACCAAGCCTGGAGCTCCAGAGTCCTTTATTATTATGGGCTGAGTGCTTTCTTAATTTCTTGTTCCTTAAATTAGGGATGATTTTCTCTATAAAGATGTTTAAAATATCCAAATTTCAAAATATTCTTGGAGATGATGTTCTCCTGGAGAATGTCCTTTGTGGTTGGCATTTTTCTTTGGGTCTCCAACTAGACATGGAGACTTATTAATTATGAATGCTCAGCCTCAGTTTAGGCTTGTCTCACTACCTCTTTTAACATAATTTAACCTGTTTCTCTTCATCTACGTTTTGCCTCTGGGCTTTTTACCTTTCTTTCATTCTGTACGTCCTACTTTCCTGCTTCCTCCTAGCTGGCCGGCCCCTGGCATCTCCCTGTCATCCCCTTTTCTTTCTTTTTTGAGCCTAAATTCCTCCTCCTCCTTACTCTCCCTGCCCCGAAGTTCCACTTACACCTCCTCTCTCACTATTGGCCATTCAGCTTTTTATTAGACCCATCAGGTGCCTTAGGCGGGCAAAGTGAAACAGCAACACACTTTTACATAATTAAACAAGTGCAACACATCTTTACTTCGTTGAAAATTCTGCAACACAACCAAATGCAACACATCTTTACATAGTTAACCAAATGCAGCACATCTTTACATAGTTAACCAAATGCAACACATCTTTACATAGTTAAACAAATGCAGCACATATTTGCATAGTTACACAAATATTCTGCAACAGCCCTTTTTCTCCTTGTCTATGGAAACAGAGAGAAGATGTCAGTAAATTCATTTCCCTATTGCTAGGTCACTCTTAGCCCTCATGTTTGCCTGCAGGAACTCTTACTATTGACTGAAAGTTAGCTGCAGTGTTAACTGCATTGAGAAAGGGCCAAGGGACTGCTGATTATCTTGGACCACAAGGAGTCTGCTGGAAGTAGAAATCAGGAGGTCCTGTAAGAGGACACATATCTTTTAAAATGCATAGCCCATTAGAGTGTCCCAGAAGAACCTCTCAAGTACTCCTAAAAGAGCAAGGCAAGCCACAGAAGCTCCGAGGCTCAGCTAATTTCACTAAGGCCCTTCTCTCTTGTTTAAAATACCGAATTATTTTGTAGTGCTGAGCGGGTGGTTGCCAGCTGAAACTTCAAGGGGAATTAATAATCGAAGCTGATGTCTGGAATCCACACAGAAGCCCGGACTGCAGCTCATCCAAGGGCATCCCTGCCACTGAACCCAGCTGAGTCATGTTAATAGCTGTGGAAAAACCCGAAGCAAACAGAACGAACCTGTGTGTGCACTTGTGAAAGGAGGGCCGGTGTCACTGCTGCGTCTGGGGAGACTGTTCGCCGCCGCAGTAATTATACTTAAGTGTCCTTCAGGTTGAGCAACTCAAGTGACTCAGTAGGAAATTGGAAGGGGGGAACAAAGGAAATGTGGTGTTTTCAGGTCCCCCGTGGATTCCTTTCACTAACATACCTTAAAAAAACATAATAAAGAATTTACTTTAAAAGCAAATCCTTGTATCTTGAGACTTAGTTTTAAAAATAGAAAAAAAGAAAATTGCTGGCAGTCACAGGATTTGCTCTAGAGTTTTGTAAACAGGAGCCGGACTTGACTCACCTTTGGAACATACTGTGCTGCTCTCTGAACACGTACATGAGACAAAACCACAGGCGAAGGCTAGGAAACTTAAAACAGGGAAAGGAAGCCCACCACTTTCCACCCCTGTATTGTGAGTGATCAGCACTTGAAGCTGAAATGATTGCCTAGAAGAAGAGCTCACTCCTACTCTGCTGGGATTCCTGCCAGTCAAAGCAAGCACGGATTTGGAAGGCCTGAAATTGTAGGGAGATTGCTGTAGACTGGAAAGGGTGAAATAGAAATCCAAGGAGTGGTGTTTTCAAAATGGAGTCTAACTGAAGAGTGCTGTTATCCTCTCCTCTCTTTTTATCCTTCTTCAAATCTTATATCCAACTTCCCCATATATATGTACACACACACACACACACACACACACACACACACACACACACATGCACATACAACACACACAACAGAACATACACACAACACAACACACACACACACACACACACACACACACACACACACACACACACATTTTAAGGGCTGAATCAGTTTTTATTTGTCTACCCTAAAGGCCCACAGGAAACAGGAAGGGGGATGTTGAACTCCCTCCTGTCTGTTAGGCAGTTTTCCCGGGGTGAAGGATGTTCCTAGGATCTGCTTTTATTGACTAGGGTAGCTGGGTAGAAGGAAGAGGCATCTTGATTACCTGTTACTTCCTTCTCAAGAGATGTCGCATCTTCTGGGATACCTTAAAGAAAAATTGTGGGCAACCCATTGAAAGGAAACAGTATGGTATTTATTCTCAGTGAACAAGTTGGAATATAGTACCTGTCATCATGCACAGTTGGGATTAAATCCAAACACAATTTTATATTATCAAAAATAAATACACCTTTGCTGGATGTGGTGGCATATGCCTTTAATCTCAGCACTCAGCTGAAGTAGGTGGATTTCTGTAAGTTCGAGTCCAGGTGGTCTCCACAGTAGGTTACAGGACAGTCAGGGCTCTCTGGAGAAACTCTGTCCTTAAAAAATTCACCTAAAGTTGGAAAGTTTTCTCTTTTGGTAACTCTGAGCCCACAGTGTAACAGGGCCTCTAGGGGAACACCAGGAGTCAGTAGGATGAACCAAAGATGCTGCAGCCCATCATTAGGAGGCCTGTGTATTCTCCACAGCGATATGGTAGATCAAACAGGAGTGCACATAGAATCCAGATTAGGAAGATGGAGCCTTTAGACATCCCAGACATTCCCATTCTTTAGACCATTTAAAGATAAGCCTTAGGTCTTGTCCCCAGGCTTCAGCTCTTGTCTAAAATTCTGGTAGCTTCGGCCTCCAGTCCCTACCCCCAACTTTTCTTATTTCCAATTTCTTTCAAGACCCTGAAGCCATGCAAAGAACAGGTGGGAAAGTAGCAAGCATGGCGGCAGCAGCAAGCTAGGAGCTCACGTCTTGACCTGAAAGCAGAGAGTAGAGAAAGCAACTGGAGATAGCACAAGTCTTTAAACCCTCAAAGGCCACCTCTAGTGACATACTTCTTCCACAAGACCGCACCTCCTCAGTCTCCCCACCAACTGCAGATCATGTGCTCAAATATGTGAATCTATAAAAAAACATACTCATTAAATCAAACCACTACCCTATGTCTTACTCTGTTTTGATATTATACCCCCACTGCCAGTGGGTACCTAAAAATTTTGCTACATTTAATTGATTGGTGTAACCATCATTTTTCTAGTACAGGAAAGCATTCAAACATTGAGATAATTTATCACCTACCAGTGCTGAAAGCCAAACACAAGACCATGACCTCAACAAACCAGATGCTCTTCATAATTAAGTTGTCCAAATATAACTATGATTTCATAAAGTTTATTTTGTAAACAACAGTTTCCATTTAGTACTTGACAATAATGTTTCTATATCTGTAACTCTCTAATACTAATTATATTCTTTGATGGTTTGTGACAGAAATCTTGGCTTTTCCATGACAAACTGTTGTTATGATATTCTCCAATCTCAGGATTTCACAATGGATTTGAAAAGTGCTCCTTCAGTTGATGGAAGAATATTAGAAAAATTGTAGCTAGAGTTTTCCTGCTTGGCCCACAGTCAGGACAAATCTCTCTCACCTGCCAGTCCCACAGCCGCTCAGACCCAACCAAGTAAACACAGAGACTTATATTGCTTACAAACTGTATGGCCGTGGCAGGCTTCTTGCTAACTGTTCTTACAGCTTAAATTAATCCATTTCTATGAATCTATACCTTGCCACATGGCTCGTGGCTTACTGACATCTTCACATGCTGTTTCTCATCGTGGTGGCTGGCAGTGTCTCTCTGACTCAACCTTCCACTTCCCAGCTTTATTCTCCTCCTTGTCCCGCCTATACTTCCTGCCTAGCCAATGGCCAATCAGCGTTTTATTTATTGACCAATCAGAGCAACACATTTGCCATACAGAACATCCCACAGCAAAAAATACTAAGTATTTTCAAGTTGATTTGTTCTAACTAAAGCGTTTTTTAAGAATAAAGTTTATTGCTGTATTTGCATATAGGTAAAAGAGGTGAAATACAGGGGTTGAGGTTTCCTTGGGACTTGTTTTCTATATAGGCTGCTGTATACAATAACCACAGTGGAGTGGACATTGGGGAGCACTAAGCTAGTGAAAATCCAATTCTGTTCCTCCCCCTTATTATGTATTTTAATGAAGCAAGCAGATGGTAGATAGATTTTCTCCTCCTTGGAAACGGCTGGTTTTGAAAGATTCCAGAATGCTGGTTTTTCAAGCATGGTTGTTGAGTAGCATATCACGTCTTAAAATATCCATTAAACTTTGCCAGGAAAATTAATGTACCCTGCAGCAGATGGATACATTTGTAAAAATGCATGGGCACTGCTAGTCTCTCAAGCTTTCATTTTTAGATTTGAGTGTAAACATGTAGAATCTCTCTTTGTTCTTAGCTTCTTCTCAGTAATATAGAAGTAATTTCTTCTCACTACACTCCTGCTCAAACGCAATTAAATGAGAGAACCACATACATAGTTGTTTTCATTGTTTGTCTTTGAATTGTTGAACAAGCTTTTTGGAGTACGACTCCATGCTGTTCAACTTTATCATTTAGAAATAAAAAAGTAGTAATTTAAAAGTGCGGTCTTCCTTTAAAACAGATAGCATAAGCATTTCCTGAGAGCTAGCTAGCAATTACAGGTACTGGTGGCTTGCACAGAAAGAAAAAATATACATGGCTTTCCTATCTGAACCAGGATAAAGGTACTCCATGCATGAATAAACCAAGCTCTATCCAAATGGCTATGCAACGTTCAGTGTATCCATCAGTAAAATATGACACCATGTCTGTTGTCAGTTCTTGCTCATCTTAAATCATTCAAGCATTCTGTATAGATATTTAATTCTTACTGGCTTTATTTCTCTAATTCACAGAGAAAAGTGAAGAACAAACAGAATTTTACATTAAGCTAGGAAAATTGATGGCAACGTGGAACCTCATCATTTATGCCAGCAAAGGAGGCAAGACATGACCCACTCTCAAGCTCCGTGGGCTTTTTGGATGCACAAGCCTTAGAAACTACTGCCATCTTCTGGCTTTTCCAAGTAAATGCTTTGACTCTAAATCAGTTTTACATGTCAAAAAAGAAAAGAACACCCTTGAAGCCTTCCGATTCACAATGAAACACCTGAAATTTGTGACAGAAGCTCTGAGGATGATAAACTTCACATATTTGTACAATGCATGTTACATGACCTATGTTGATTATACTAGACCAGATATAGTTTATAGTTTCCTGTGACAAAATCCCTAGCGATTATACACAGAAAATGCCAAGCTGGTATATTTTGAACAATCTTCTCATCCAGGAGTTTCACATGGCAATGAGTTTTCACTTATTAAATCTCCGAGGTTAGGGGGATGCTTCTTTTAGTGCTTTAAACTATGATTTAAAAGACACTAATATTTAAATATAAGTTCACTTTAAAGATATGGAAATCACAGTTGTAACACTGACGGTTGTAGTTGTTAGGTGCTCCATCGAAATTAACCTGTTTCTCATGGGACTCTGCTGAGATGTTCTTATACACAGATCCCTGTGGGTCTGAGGGAAAAAAAAGGCTCATTTGGCTCTTGGCTTCAGGGGGCTGCAGTTTCATCATGACAGAGCTTATGGCAGCGCAGGTGTGTGCTCCTTGGTATTCAGTGGATCAGGAAGCAGACCAATATGTTCCTACCATTGATGCAGCTCTGGGGCTGGAGAGATGACTCAGTGGATAAAGGTACCTGCCACCCAGCCTGACAACCTGAGTTCGATCCCTGGGACCTACATGGTGTAAGGAGATAACTAACTCAGGCAGGTTGTCATCTGACTTCTACAGGTATTTGATGGTATGCTGGTATGTCTGAACATGTAAAACACACACACACACACACACACACACACACACACACACACACACACTCACGTAATAAAAGTATGATAAAAATAGAGACAACCCAACAAAACACTGGTTTAGAGAGATTAAGACACATATATAAGGGACGTCAGGGCTCTTTTTCATACGCTGTTCTTTCTACCTGTTGTGCTCTAGATATGAAGTGCCCCCACCATCTGCTAAAAGTTTGATTTCTAACATATAGCACTTTTATGGGGTAACTGGACCACGAAGGTGCTAACTCCATCAATGTGGAGATTAGGGAATGGGACCTGGCCTCTGAATGATTGCACTTGTCCCTGACCCTTCCTATCATGCTCTCTCTTCTCTGATCTGGCTGCTATAAGGTGAGAAGCTTCTACCACATCTTCTACACTATGATACTCAGCATAAGCCATAATAATGGCGCCAAGTGACCATGGGTTGAAGTCTTTGAAACTGTGAGACACAGAAAGTTTTGCTTTTTAAGTGACTTATGTCAGATATTTTGTTACAACAATGAAAAGGTGATAAACATACTACTTAATACTAATGGCTGGGATAATAGCTACGACATTGGTAAAGTAAATGCCTTTGATAGATGTTCATTATTAATATTTGTACTCTTTACAAAGACTGTCATATAAATATATTCTATTTCCACTCCCACCCCCAAATCCAGTACCAGGCATGATTTATTTCTTGTTGAGAAGGATTTAAGTCTAATCAGAGAGCTATTGGTTACTGCCAAGGTACGTGTGCCACTATTACACCCTTAGGGTTATTGCGCCATGCTGGTGGTTGTTGTGGCTCATAGGCATCATAGTTGGGTGGCACTGTTGGTTTCTTCTGTGCTTTGGAAACTTGCATGGCACCTTCTGGTACCATGAAAACCAGTCCTTAGGGAGGAGGCTTTTAGGTCAGATCCTGCTCAGGTCCTCTGGGTTCTCTGTCTGAAGTTCATGGTACCTTCAGCAATAGGAACTTGCCTTCCACCTCTGGGAGGTAATCAAGGTCAACAGCAATAGCTTATTCTGTTTTCTCAGTCTCTTGGACTCTCTGGACTAACAGCTCAAAAGAGGGAGTCATATGTGTGGTGTTGGGGTTATTGTTAGATGGTCTATGGCTCTTCTAGAAAGGCTAAAATTTTCAAAACTCCACAAGTGTTGAGTGCTTAGTGACACATGCACACATACCCATCTATATGTGTACAAGTGTATTCCACACAGTTGACTGGAAGTTTCCCTTTTGGTTTGGTATTATTTAAAAAGAGTTTAATCCATGCAGAAATGTAACAAAGATTTAAAATAACATGGCTAATTTACTGCAGAACATTATGTACTTTTACTGTAAAAGAGAAAAGGAAAAAAATCTAACTGGATATACCATAGGGGAAACTATAATTCTAAGACATTCCTGGTATTGCTATTGAAGTTCTGAAAGAAAACAAGGTACTGAAAAAAATTTGAAGTCATTTCTAGGTAGTAAATATGGCATGAGAGATTGTTCTAGGAAAATTTTGCCAATAAAACAAGAAAAATCATTAGCTATGATTTACAACGTTAACTTATTGGAGTGTATTTTTTTTTAAATAGTCCTGAGGATTAATCATAGGGTTTTGTACCTGTTAGATAAGTATTCCACCACTGGAGTTACAGCTGCAGGCAGGAGTATTTCGATGGGACAAGATCCTGTTACATACAGTGGCCTCAAGTTCATGTACTAGTCCTGTGCAAATGTGTGTGTGCTGGTGTATACCTATACTGTCATGTAACAAAACTCTGAAAAATGATGAGTTAATAAGAGTTAGAGTCTGCAAACAATCATAAAACATAATGAAATAACGTATTTTATTTGCCATAGCATGAAAACAGGAATAAAATTGTATTAAGTTTGTTGGGTACATGCTGTGGAACCATCCCATGGCTACCTAACCCTGAAATGGAATTCGGAGCAAGGAGGTAGATTGTCTCCTATAATCACTAGGGAGTCTGAAGAACCAGTGGGGAAAATGAACCAATCCATATGGGCAGCTCAAACAGCCAGTTTCACCCTGGGTGAGCATCGTTGTCAGGATTCAGCCTTGTTACCCCTCTACATCTCCAACTGGAGCCAATTACGCAATCATTTCCACACACCCCCCTACCCCCCACCCCCCCCACCCACCCCCTCCCGCTGCCAAAAAAACCCCCCACCAAAACTGAAGCAAAACAAATCCCAAACAACCGGACATACCTCTCTATCTTTATCTCAATTCCTTAGGGTTCAAATCCTGGGGGAGTATTTCATGTCGATCCTAATCACGTATAGATGTATAAATAGGAAAGAAGTCTATATACTGCATGGCCCAAACCCCAAATCCAGATGAAGAATATCTAACAGATGCATCTACCAAACTTTGGTTGTCCAGTGTCAGTATGTATCCTCCTTATACCTGCATTTTCAAATCACATGTCCTTCTAATATATAATGCAATATAATATAAAATATAATATTATATAATATAACCTCACCTCTAACTCAAACAGTGCTGCTCTCTGTTCCCGTATGGATCTTTCTTAAGTCTTTTATTGCATCCCTCCCCCCCCACCCCCACCCCCAACATACAGGATCTTTGCCTAAGGACCACTAATGCCCCATTTATGTTGTAATTCTGTTCTGACATGGGCAACATTTTGATATTAAATCTAAATTCTCACAGAAGCCTGGGAGTATGTGACAACTGTAATATAACATTGAATGCTTATTTTTTTGTGTGTTGGGAAAAATGAAAGTTATTACTAATCCAATTTTAAAATTTTTAATTACTTATTTTTATGTGCATGGTTGTTTTGCCTATATGTATGTCTGTGAACCATCTGTGTGTCTGATGCTCTTGGAAGCCAGAAGAGGGCTGATTGGTGTTACAATTTTTTTAAAAAATTTTATATAAGAGATTTTCTAGTCATTTTACATATCAGCCACGGATTCTCCTGTCCTCTCTCCTCCCACTCCCCAGCCTCCCCCCCCCCAATCAACCTCCCATTTCCCACATCATCCAAGGCAGGGTCTCCCCTGGGGAGTCAGCCCAGCCTGATACATTCAGTTGAGGCAGGTCCAATCCTCCCTTCACCAAGGCTGAGCAAAGTGTCTCAGCATAGGCCCTAGGTTCCAAAAAGCCAGCTCAGGCACCAAGGACAGGTCCCGGTCCCACTGCCTGGGGGCTTCCCAAACAGTTCAAGCTGAACAACTGTCTCACTTATCTAGAGAGCCTAGTCCAATTCCATGGGGGCTCCTCAGCTATTAGTTCACAGTTCATGTGTTTCCACTAGTTTGGCTATTTGTCCCTGTGCTTTTTCCAATCATGGTCTCCATATCTCTTGCTCATATAATCCCTCCCCTCTCTCTCTTGCCGATTGGACTCCTGGAGCTCCACCTGGGGCTTGGCCATGGATCTCTGCATCTGCTTCTATCAGTCACTGGATGAGACCACTTCCTGAGGTGTTACAAATTTTGAATCCCTACCTGAGTGCTGGGAATTGAGCCCAGGCCCTTTGGAAAAGTAGCCAGTGCTCTTTCACTGAACCATCTTTCAAACCTCAAATAGCTAATACTATTTATCTTGCTACTCATATTAAAAAGGAAGGAACTTGACACAGGAACCTAACTGTAAAGGAGGGAAAGGAAAGGATCAGCATGACAGCCAAAGAACTGAGAGCCTAGAGGACAAAAGCCCAGAAGTCAGGACCTCCAGTGAGGATGTGCCTTCTCACTGGGACTCTTCATCAGGATGGGTACAGGGATGCTGGACCTAGCAGTAGCTGCTGCTGCTGGTGTAAAGGAGGGGAAATCAGTGTCTTTGCTTCTCTTTTTCTCCCATTCTCATGTCTCTGGACACCTTTCCTGGGCAAGGAAAGTACAGTTTGCACAGGCTGAGAAATGAATTGCAGAGCAAGTAGGAGAAAGACCCGGTATTCTCTCTGATGGGGTGTCTTAGTCAGGGTTCCTATTGCTGTGAAGAGACACCAAGACCATGGCAACTCCTATAAAGGAAAACATTTAGTTGTGGTGGCTAGCTTACAGTTCAGAGGTTCAGTCCATTATCATCATGGCTGGAAGCAAGGCAGCATGCGGGCAGACACGGTGTTAGAGAGGGAGCTGAGAGTTCTCACATCTTGACTCACAGGCAACAGGAAGTGGACCGAGACACTGGGTGTGGCTTGAGCGTGGATGAGACCTCAAAGCCTCAAAGTCCACTTCCACAGTAACACACTTCCTCCAACAAGGCCACACCCAGTCCAACAAAGCCACACCTCCTAATAGGGCCACTGCCTTTGGGGGCCATTTTCTTTCAAAACCACCTTCATCGGGAAGGTCACACTGGCGTGATTCTTATGGCCACAGATGCTGAAAAGGTCACCCTAATACAACATTGTGCTTTGAACCTCTCTCCTTTCATGTAGTAGAAACAAATGTAAATTCTTCCTTCTGTGCTCTTTGCTACCCTCACAGCTGGGAATTCCATAACTGTTGTGATGAGGAAAGTCTTTATTCCTGTGAGATTGGCTGTGGTGGGTCTTCTATCCAAGACTTTATAATTCCGCATTAGCTTCTCCCATCTTTCCAATGAGTATGTGAGGTCATTCCCCATGGCAGACTTCTCACCTTTAGGGTGTATGTGTATGTGTTTGTACACAGATGTGTATTCCTGTGAATGTGTGTACCCATCTGTATGTTGGGCCTTTTAGCAGTCTTGTGAAGCACTGGGAACTCTAAGGAATTTTCTCCTTAGAAAAATATTTTTAAATTCTTGTAGTTAAATATGTAAGATTATAAGATGAATGTACTTATTTGAAATATAATTAAGTATAACACAAATTTTGTCATAAGAGAAAACGTATGCTTCTTTAATAATGCATTTAAGTACAGTCTAGCAGCAGGTGTGATAATTACAGCAATTTCACACTGTGAGGAGCCACAAAATATTTTAAAGCAGTTTATAGCAATCATAATGAGATCTTACTTTTCTTGGTAACAAAATCACAGCCACTGATAATAATACTGTGGTGCTTTTTTCTTTTCTTTTTTTTTTTTTGCCGTTATTTGTGATGGAGGGTTTAAGTTTCTGCTGTAGGCTATCTGCATTCACAGGGCTTTGACCCAGTGGCTCACCTGACTTGTACGAGAACATTTTCCTCACTTGCCAGCTAGTTCTTCTACCCTCAGTGTTTTCCTAGACTTCGCTTCTCTGAAGGCCTGTCTGGCCTGCCCCGCCCACTCTGCCCGCCCTGCCCCGCCCACCCCGCCCACTCTGCCCGCCCTGCCCCGCCCACTCTGCCCAATCTGCTTACTTGCGGCCTTCCCCATGTGATGCAGATTCTTACAAATGCTGTTTCCTCAGTTCAGAAGACCTGGTGAGAGACCAGTTTCTCTTCTTGTCAGCCAAATACATCCATGTGCCAAATCTGCCTTTTAGAATGCTCAGAGTCTAGGCTACCATACACTCGGGCAGATTGCCTTAGGTCAGGTATAGGCAACCAGGAACATATTCAATGTCTAAGAGCCTTCAAAATTACTGCCTTGAGTCAGGTATAGGCAACAGAGAACATACCCAAGGTCCAAGAGCCTTCAAAATTATTCAGATTAGTCAGCTGGCAGAAGCCTTCAACACTGAAATAACTCCGTATGTCTCGCCGTAGATACAGACGCTCTACCTTCAGCTTTCTGTGTGGTCCCGAGAGCCTGTCTTCTCTCACTTGAAACTGTGACAGAAATTCTGCCTTGTGTCTTGCTGAGCATCCTCTGTTTTTCCACTGAAACAAATAACCGAATAACAACAGCAATAAAACAAAACTCAGAACAGCTGTAAGTCATTAACATCCCAATCCTCTCCCGGCATTCCCTCCCTCCCTCCCTCCCTCCCTGTCTCTCCCCCTCCCTCCCTTCCTCCCTCCCTCCTCTCCTCCCTCCCTCCCTGTCTCCCTCCCTCCCTGTCTCCCTCCCTCCCTGTCTCTCCCCCTCCCTCCCTTCCTTCCTCCCTCCCTCCCTCCCTCCCTCCCTCCCTGTCTCTCCCCCTCCCTTCCTCCTCTCCCCCTCCTCTTCCCTCCCTCCCTCCCTCCTCCTCCCTTTCCTTGACATTTTGTTGGCTTGCTTGTGTTTTCCCACAGCACTGCCCGTCTTCCCCACATTCGCCGGACTCTCTCCTCAGACCCTGACATGTAAGGTCCTCGAGAATGGACTTGTTCATTTTTGTTCTCTGCTGAGGCTCCAGCACTTGGAACAGTGTCTGGCTGGGAAACAGGCTCTTTGTCCATCTTGCTTTCTGTACTGTGCCTCCCACTACTTGTCGCTCTGGGTAATAGTTTAACTCCTCCGTGTCTGTTTGTGTGATTCTACGAGAACATGACGCGGATGGCTGTCGATTACAACCCAGTAGGGCTGTTGCGAGGATTCTTGAGAGCTTTATATTTTTGATGCCTAAAGTCTCTAAACTAATAGAGTTTTAGGAATTGTCATAAAAATGTCTACCCTTGGTTCCTAACTATGCAGTATGGCTGGTATAGTTTTAGAGTTTGTGTGGTATCTTGAAAGTCAGCAATAGGACCCTAAAAGGTGGTCCAGGTAGTTCTGTCAGAGTCTGTAATAGACATTTTGGTTTGTTATGAAGTCCACATTTTGAAAAAGATCATTTACTTTAATTTTACATGCTAGAATGTTTTGCCTGCCTATATGTATGTGCACTGTGTTACTGCCTGGTACCCATGAAGGCCAGCGAGGGCACCAGATCTTGTGGAATTGGAGTTACAGATAGCTGTAAACTGTCTTGTGGATGTTGGGACCTGAACCTGGATCTTCTGGAAGAGCAGCAGGTGCTCCAAACTGCTGAGCCATCTCTCTAGCCCCTCAACATTCCTTTTATACTATCAGGGAACAAAACAACAACTTTTGAGTGATGAATTTCACAGGGCAACTATCTGTCCTTGCTAATTTATTGTGCTTTGAAGGTGGCCTGTTGGTTAGAAGTAACACCATGCAGGATGAAATAACAACTTACATTCCATCAACTGTGCCCATTGCTAGAAATGGCAGAAGAACCATTTTATTAGTAAACACTTATAAGAAGCACAAATTTCGGTCACTACTATGTTGTCATCAACCTGGCACTAGTGTCTGATTGGTGTCCTCTAAGCCCAGGTACCAAGTCAGAATTCTAGGTTGTTTGTTATTGGGAAATCTGCATTAGAATCGGTTTATCTGAGATCACACACACAGAGAGACAGTCCACAAGGAGACCTTGACTGGCCTGAGATTCTTATGTCCAAACCACTTGGACCTGCGCCAGAGTTAAACCTGTCAGATAACCCGCATTTCTGTCATCAAACAATACGTGTAATTGTTTTCTTGGATTCTTTCCAACAACAGGTGTTATCGCTTGTTCTGAGTTCCTGACGGCCCAAGGGAGGTAGTTTGTCTGGTGGTACTTTAGTTTCATTTCTGATTGGCTGTGACTTTGAACCTTTTCCCTTTCACACACTGGTCACCTGTGACCTTTCTGCTCGTCTTCTTTACTCATGTTTCTTTCAAGTATATCTTATTCTGTCAGTTCTCAAGATCTCTTTACCTGTTAGAGTAATCATTTACCTGTTGTATCACAAATGGTTTCTTCAAACCCATGGTTTTTCTATTTAGATGTGATACCCTTTTCAATTCAAATTAGGAAAAAAATTTATCCGAGCATTTTCTTTTATAGCTCTAGAATCTTTCTTTTGATTAAAGACCCCTTTCTCACATTTAGGTTGTATATGAGGCTTTGAAGATTTGGTTCTGAAGTATTCATTGTGTGTTATATTTGCATTTAATAATTCTGGATTTTATGTTAGTATGTAAGAGCAGTGCAACCTCGTTTTATCCGTTGGAGGATCAATCCATTGTCCATTTTTATTTATGATGTGAAATAGTAATACCAAAGAAAGCACCAATTTAACATGGATTGGATTCTCAGAGAGAGTGGACCTCTTGCTGTGTTCTCTCTTAAGTCTTAGACACCAGTACCATGCTGATTGTGCTCGCTGATCTCTGGCAGGGCAAGTTCCCCTTTACATTTCTTCCGTTTTTGTGCCTTTACAATACATCATGTGCTGCCATGATGCATGTTGTTATATATCAAGTTTAAAATAATTCAAGTTTTGTTAGATCATGTTTTCTGTCTTATATTTGGTAAAATGACACTTTTTAGTATTTTTTTTTTATTTTAGAATATAGCGTACTTTAAGCCACTCACACATTTTATTACCACTGAGATTTTATATTCTTCTACATCGATGTCTTGGGCTTTTAAATTACCTTTATTCTAAGTATTTTTATTAACACAATTTTAAGCAGAAACATGTTTAGTGTTTACTTTGAAGTGAGTTTTAACATGTTACACGATGTTAGAATAGAAGTTGCAGTTAAAACACAAAGGGAGTATGAAATGATACATCAAAGTCAGGTCACCATGACCACGCTTCACAAAGCAGGAGGTTGGAATTGTGGTTCTTGAATTCCTCACCCTCTCTGAGGATATAAGGCTTTGGCGCTCTCACCCTTCCATCTCAGATGAAGGCAGAGAGATTTTTAGGAACACAGCTTGATGATCTTAGTATGTATCTATGAAGTTACCAATGAGGGGGACCCGTTCCCTGGGAAACCACGGGGTATGATGTGTTGACTTCCCCTATGGGAGTAAACATAGAAAAGGTCAACTTCTCATCCAGGATTTGTCAGCACTACATCGGCTACTGGGAGATGATGTGAACGTATTCGTCTTGGGCTGATGTGGGCAATATAAAGGATAGAGACATTGCACTGCCTTCCTATAAAAGAATGATCTTAAGAGGTGAAGACCCCTCATTAATAAGGCTGGAAGTGTGACAGGGTTGCCTGAGGTCGAGGGCATTGCACACAGTCAGCTGGAGTAGAGATACCTTTTGTAGACAAGAGAGTTGCAGGTAAGAGATTGTTAAGCATGGGGTATGAAGAGAGCCGATGACAGTGTTCCATAAGCCAAGAGCGGTTTTGAGCATCTGCCAAATCCAGATGGCAGTGGTGGAAGAGAAGTCCCTGCTGACTTTCCTCATTTACCCACAGGTGGAAAGGTCAGAGACGGGAACCTGCACGTAGCAAAACAAGAGGGGAAGTTCAGTTTTCCTTTCTCATGACTCGAAATTGTCTGTGTGACTGGACCCCAAATGAGGATGGTAAATGTATAAAGTGTAATGTAGATAGATTTGCCAATCATAAAAAAATGGAACGTCAAATTACTAAGTGGAACTGAGATTGTCTAAATTTTCATTTGAGAAAAAGAAGGAATTCGTAGGATTGAGCAGGTAAGAAGTCTTCTTCTGGGAGCAGATTCAGAGACTGTTTCTGTGTGGGCATCTATGCAGCATCTCTCTTTCTGTGGTCTCCTGTCTGGACAGAAGCGCAGAGCTTGTCTACATGTCCCTGATTTTCCTCCTCTGGCTGATATTTCCTTCTTGGATTGGTACTTTCTGATGAGGTAAACCTTTGTGGGATTTTGATTATGTTGATCTTTGAGTTGTTTGTCCTGCAACCAGAGGTTTAGGTTGCAGGCTGGGATTTATAGCTCTAAGTTTGAGGTAGGTCTATGGACAAGGTCTCTACCGTGAAGCTTTAGATCTCAGCTCACTGAAGCTCCTGCCACCGTTTGCCCCTCCCTTCCAGAGAACTAGTGAATTTCACTCCAGGGTACAGCTCAGGTCAGATTCTACATGTGGAACAGCGTATGGTTCTGACTCAGTTTCCTCTTCTAATTAGAAGTATCCTGGAAGGCAGTGCTTAACAGAATCATCCGCTGACACTTTCTAGATTCTCAGTATGGTCTATGCAGGGAGAGACCTTTGCTTCTGGAGCCACCATTGGGCCAGCTCATCAGGGATCTTTTTGAAATGGCTCCTTGTCACTTCCTCAGGTGAATGCCTGGAGGGAAAGATTTTCCTGGTATTCATATGGCATGTGAGATTCCTGTCTGGGTGGACTGCAAGTCTGTCAGGGATGTGTCCAGTGGCAACTGCCTTTTAGTATCTCCCTGTCTTTGGCTACCTTTGGCCTCTACTCCTCCTTCTGCCAATGGAGTTGCCTCATTTTCCCTCTCCTTTCATCCCCTCTCCCCTTAACCCCTCCCTCTCTCCCTCCATCATTAAATTACCTGTTACTGAAAATACAATAAAACATTTCTAAGGTTCTTTTTGTCTTAAACCGTGATTCCCACCCCTCTGTATTTGGGTCCACTTTCACCAAATTGCAGATGAGCTTTCCAGATGGCCTCTGGATTTCCTGTTCCACTTCCTAAACTTTTCCTTTCATTACTACAGAACACAATGTTTTCCTACCACTGCCTATCACATGGGATAGCTATTCTCCATCTCTTCCCAGAGAATACCCTAGAGATTCTAGCACTTGGTACATGGCTGTTGTCTACTTTATACCCCCTAATTGTTTTTAATCAATACCAAGGTATCTTAACTGAAATACATGAAAATCTGGAAATTTCTAAAACAAACAAACAAAAAAAAACCCCAAAATACAAAAAACTCGCAGACAAAAAAACAAAACCCACTAAATATATTTGGAAAAGCTTTGTCATGAATGGTTGTGTGAATTAGCTTTTTAGTTCTGTAACTGAAATATCTTGCATAAATAACTTGAGGAAGAAGATTTATTCTGACTTGCTGCTTCTCAAGTTCTTAGCCCTCGTGGTAGAAAGGCCATGGCAGAATAGAGCACTATATCACAAAGGTTTCAGGAGGAAGAAAGGGGAGTAGGGACTTGGGACTCTGTATAACCTTCAAAGACATGGACCCAGTGACTTAATTCT